GTACAACTAATACACTAAAACAAAACCAGCAGACTTCCAACTTCCAATACTGGCAGAATATTTTGGTTGTACTAACTCTGTCACAAATATGATAAATTCTGGACAGAATACTAACAATTCATTCTTTCAGACACTGGAGATGTATAAATCATGCAGAAACTGCAATTGGAAAGATTTGGGAACTTGCAGCCTAACCTGAAGTACTCCCCAATCTACAAAAAGCTTGATATCCTTGCCTCATTATTGTAGCTTGATCTGTCAGTGGACAGAGTTCAGTGCTGGTAGAATAACCAAAAAAATTAGGGGAGAGACCTGAGAGAAGAAGAGAGGAAGAATAAAGCCCAATCCATCCATATTAAATCCACCCAAAGTTTCCTTTCACTGCAAAACTACACATACTCATATGAAGAAGACTCCAAGGAACCTAATAATAAAGCAGTAGCTGGAAGTTGAAAAAACTGAGCAAGATTTTAGCTGCCACCCAGCACAAGAGAGATGAGTTTTTAACTTTAGCCAAGCTGTGTGCTAGAATACAAATCACATTTCAGAAAAAGACAATGAAATCCAGAGTCTCTACAATACATTAATCATAATGCCCAATATCCAACAACAAATCACTATTTAGGAAGAAAAAAGAAAATGTGACCCATATGCAACAAAAATGCAGGCAAGAGAAATCAACCTCAGAGACCGAGATGATGCAATTAGTAGTCAGGGACTTAAAATCAGTTATTATAGGAGCCAGCAAGTGGTGTGGTGCTTGGGATGCTGGACTCCCACATCGCAGACTGTGGTTTGAGTCCGAGAACTGGCGGCTTGCTTTCTCATTCCCCCACATCTCTCTCTGGTCAAATTAAAATAAATAATTAGCAGATGGCATAATGGTTACATCACTGAACTCTCATGTAGTCAACAGTGTGGACTGAGTCTCAGACCTGGCAGCTTAAACTCAAGACCTGGCAGCCTAAACTCATGCCGGGCATGTTGGGGTTTCCGTGCCCATGATCCCAAAAAGAGAATGGAGGAGAAGGATTGCAGTGTGGCCATCCTCCCTGGGGAGGTGATTTCTTGCTTTCTGTCTCTGTCTCTCTGCCAAACGTACACGCCCTATAGCAAACATCTTTCAAAAAATAATAAATTAATTAATTAAACAAATCATTCTTAGGGGGAAAAATCAGCCATTATAAATAAGTTCAAGGGCCCAGCTGTGGTGGTACACATTGCTGAGACACTGTACTCTGCAGGCTGGGACCACATGGGAGGTCTGGGTTTGATTCCTGGTCTAACCTAAAAGACTACACACACTGGCATGTATCTGTATTCTCAGAGACCCAGCACACTGAGGCACGTGGACTGTGAACCCAAGGTGGCTCTGGGCAACATGGCGAGACCCTGTCTAAGAACAAAAGAGCCAGGCATAATGGTGCAGACCTATAGTTCCAGCTTGGAGGCTGAGGTAACAGGATCCAACACAGAGAGAACCTATCTTAAAAAAAAAAAGCATTCAAGGACAAGCAGTTAGCGTAATGGCTATGTCACTGGACTCCCATGTAGTTGACTGTGGTTCAAGTCCTGGACCTGGTAGTTTAAACTCATGCTGGGCACGTGTGCGTGCGTGCCCAAGATCCCGAGAGAAGAATGGAGGAGAAGGGATTGTGGCGTGGCCATCCCCCCAGGGGGTGATTTCTCGCTTTCTATCTCTCTGTCTCTCTCTGTCTTTCTGGTGAGCACAAGCACCCTATAGTGAAAACCTCTCTTTAAAAAAAAGCATTCAAACACTTAAGGAAAAAGACACATAATAAATAACTGGAACATTTTAGAAGGCAAATATGAGTAAGAAAAAAAAGAACTAAGTGGGAATTCCAGAGCTACAAAAGTACAATGATTGAAACAAAATGTTTACTGGATTGAATTAACAGCAGATTAGAGATACCAGAACAGTCATTAAACTTGAAGTTAAAGTATTAAAAATTAGCCAATTTAGAATAATGAAGTAAAAAAAAAAAGAACTAAGGAAAAATGACAGTTTTGGAGATCTGTGGGCCAATAATAGGTAATCTAATATGTGGTATTGCAGTTCCAGAAGAGGAAAGGCTGGATCTGAAATTTTTGTTTTATTAAATAATGGACGAAAATACCCCACATTTAGTGAAAGATATCAATCTGCAGATGCTAAAATTACAACAAATCTCAAGCAAGAAAAGTATCCCTACCCATATCATAGTCAAATTGATGAAATACAAAGAGAATCTTGAAAGGAGCCAGAGGAAAATAACATATTACTTATAGGATAAGAAAACCACCATTAGAAAATGAAAAGGCAAGCAAGACTGGGAAGAAATACTTGCAAAACATTTATCTAACAAAGGATTCATGTATAGACTCAAAAAGCAAACAAAAAAGTCCAACAACTTGATAATAAAAAAGAAATAATCCAATTAAAAAAATTAGCAGGGGTCAGTAGCTGGCATGGTAGTTAAAGATGCAGGAGTCCCATATGGCCGACCGTGGTTCAAGTCCCGGACCTGGCAGCTGGCAGTTTTTTCTCACTTTTTCTTTCTCTCTCTCTCTCTCTCCCCTTCCCTGATCAAATTTAAATAAAGTTTTAAAAAATTAGCAGGGGGACCAGCAGTTGGCATAATGGCTATGTCGTTGGATTCCCATATAGTCAACCATGGTCCAAGAACCAAACCCAGTGACTTAAACTCACGCTGGGTGCGTGTGTGTGCATGCCCAAGATCCCAAGAGGAGAATGGAGAAGCGATTGTGGTGGCCATCCCCCCTGGGGAGTGATTTCTCACTTTCTGTCTCTCTGTTTCTCTCTCTCTTTCTGGCGAGTGAGAGCGCACGTGCCCTATAGCAAAAACCTCTCAAAAAAAGAAAAAATTAGCACAAAAGAGCTGGGGCCATGGCATACTAGTTAGGGGAGAAGGGACTGCAGTATGACTGTGCCCCATGGGGGATGTTTTCTCCTTTTCCCCCTCTCTTTGGCAAAATAAAGTAATACATTAGCAAAAGATGTGAACTTTCACAAAGGAACATTTATAATGACCAATAAGTGCCCAGCATTTATCATCAGGGAAATGCAAGTTAATACTACAGTGAGATGTCACCTCACACTTTCTAGAATAGCTAAAATGAAAATACTGACAACACAAAATGTGAAGCAACCAGAACTCGCACACATTGCTGGTGGGCATATAAAATGGCACAACCCCGTTGGAAAAAAAATTGGTAGCAGGACCAGCAGGTGGTGTCGTGGTTAAGGTGCTGGACTCCCACAGGGTAACCATGGTTTGAGTCCTGGACTTGGCAGCTTGCTTTCTCATTTTCCCTCTCTCTGTCTCTCTCTGCTGAGTGCATATGCTCTACAGCAAAATTAACTAATAATAATGATAGATAAAATTAAGTAATTCTTAAAAAAAAAAGTTTGGGGGGCCAGCAAGTGGCATGATGATTAAGGGCGCTGGATTCCTATATAGCTGACTGCAGTTCAAGTCCCGGACCTGGACACCTGCTTTCTCCCTTTCCCTCAGTCTCTCTCTGGTCAAATTAAAAAATAATAACAAATGGAATTAAAATAAATAAGAAGTTCTTTAAAAAAAAAAAAAAAAAAAGGGCCCA